TGCCCCAGGAGCATTTCCACCGCGTCATTCAGTGGCGCCTGCAATTTCGTCCTGTCGATACTCCGCGGCCCTCCCATCCTCTCTCTCGATCATCACGCTCGTTAGTCACGACGATCCGATATTTAAAATCGAACCGTGGAAAATGAAATTCGTGAGCTTGGCATTGTCTTACCGAACCGCTTCTTTACGCTCGATTACGCGTATCCAATGCTTCTGCAAACATTCTTTCTTAAAAAGTCCTTCGAAAGGATCGCTAATTCCTTCAAAACGACGAAGAACGAATTTTTAATCAAAGTCAATTCAATTGCACCGCTTGCATTTTAATTCTCGCTCGTTGAAACACCCTTTGCACACCCGTTCTTTTTGTCTTTAACGCTCCTCAAAGACTGTCCCCTCTCGAAACTTCGAGAAAATGTGAATTTCAAAGCATTCACCGTCTAGCGTACACAAAGGAATATTCAACGCGAAGAACTCGAGCGTGTACCAAAAAAATCACTTCCGCCGAACGTTTAAGATTTAAGGGCGCATAAAATGGCCTCTGTCTCAGCCCGCCGCACGTTTCATTTTCCACGAAGAAATTTTCGTTCCCGATGACTTTCCGTCCACGAAATCGCTTCACGCCAATTTCGCACCCCATCGTTAGTCCCCGAATTCTGGTGTGTAGCTCTCGAACGGTGATTAGCTCTAAGGAACACCCACAACTAGTGACTGCGCGACTTCTCTCCGGTCCGTTTAGTTTGGACAAGCGGTCGATCGAGCTCAAAAGAAAGCGAATCGTTAATGAGGATCTCCCGGAGCTGTGCACGTATGGCGGCAAACGAAAAGCGGAGAAGAGGGCAAACCGTGGACTCAAAACCGTGCCATTAGACTGTCAATTACGAGTCGAGCGAACGCTATAATGACAGACGTCCACGCTGTCAGCCGTTGCACCGAATTTCGGTGGCTGCTCGTTTTCTCCGGTCTAATTGCGAGGTCAGCTGGGATTATTTTCCATTTCGCGAAATAAACCGAAAGCTGCGAATCTTCTGGTCTCTGGTTGATTTAACGCCACTTGAAATCGCGTATTCGTGGAATAATCGAACGTCAGGGTTAATTAATCGAGGCGGAGAGACAAAGAACGACGGCACGCGTGCCATGATTATCGCCGGTTTAAGTCGAAAGAGCGACAGGAGCTAAGAGGGCGCAAAAAGCTGGGAAAATTAGTGACGCTTCTGTCGGCTGGCTTCTTAAGTGCCCGCTTAAACTTTTGTTGCTCGGTGTATACGCTTGCGCCAGAGTGACTCGGCGCCTTTTCGCGGAGGCGCCGGCCACACCTCGGGCGCCACGACGACGGATTTCGTGTCCCTTTTCCCACTGTCCAAACTATCGCCTCGGGCGCCAAACCTTCGCTTTCCAACGTCGCTAGCCTAACGATTTCCTTTTTCGGTAACGAAACCGAACAGAAGCGAGAGTTATTAATTAACCCTTTCGAACGCACTACCAGCCTTCGTAGTGAAAGGGTAAACACTTTTGCTGTCACTCGAAAATCGAAACAGATTCGTAATTTTAGCCGAGCGTGCAACCGAGGACTCGTGAAGGTACAGTCGATGGAAGAAATATAGTTTCTCAAGGCTAAGACACGCTTCACGCGACCCTCGCCGAGAATTCGAGTCCTTATCTTCTCAGATTTCTGTCCATTCTCTTCGCAATATGCTCGAACGTGACAATTTCGACACCTGAGTGAACTTACGACCTCGCTACATTTCTTCCATCGACTATACCACACTCTGACCACGGATCTTCGACGTTTGGTACACACTATGCAACCTATTCTGAACCCAGCAGCAAAGCATACCAACGACGCGTAACCGTGTATTTGCTTGATAGGCAAATATCGCTCCGGTAACGAGATCAAAATGGAAAAACAGCACGAAGGTAAACAAGCTGATCACCATCGTGTCTGGTAATGAATACTGGAACCGGGAGCAACATTTACCCCGGTCTTGAAATCTCCGGGTGCTGGGAATAGGCGTTTAAACCCGTCGAGTTACGGTGATTTTCTCTTGTGGAGCGAACGTGTTTTCCGCGAAATCGATCGCGGTGGCTCCGACGTTAAATTGCCTGCTGGCCGATAAGCGATACGCTCGCCGGTTTTTCTGGCCGCATGCCGGGCATACGCAACCACTGAGAGTCGGTTATTTAGAAGTCATTAGGACTCGTTACGTCGTACTAGCCTGGCTACACCGTCCTCCCTACTTATCGGCTAATTACCTATACACACTTCAGGTTTGTACATTCGTGTCTACACATCCCCGTGTACGCAGGCACACACACACACGCTGGACGCTTTCGGTCTTTAAGATAGTTACTTAGGCGGTGTTCGAGGGAACTGCATTCTAATGAAACACCACGAGACTAGCTCGTTTATGTAATTCGCGACGCGCATCGAGATTTATGCATTCGGACACGTAGATTTATGTATCCGCGTTGGATTTACGCGGCCGTGGTTGGATTTATTGCTGGAAACCGGCTACCGAAGCCCTACTACTTTAATTAGCTCGAATCGCGGCCTTAACCCTTCTCTGCTGACGTTCACCCTGTCGTCGGTTCCAACGTCATCGTCTTTCGGGATTAGCCGTGGACTAATCGTTTGTAAAGTCTCGATAGTGTTCGTCGGGTTCGGTGTAAGGACGAAGGAAGAGTCAAGGGAAAATGATTTATTTCTTATCGAAAGTTCCAAGTCACTGTCATTTAAACAATAACAGTGCGCTCTTCAAATCAGTCCATCGAACAGTTGGAAATATTTACCAAATTCCACTGGCACAACTGATTACCAGTATCGAGATACTGTATCTACGAAATGACGAGTCACGTTGCACAGCAAAATTTCCAAAATGTTCAAACTTCACCTACACATAGTCACGCTCCACGTTATGGTAACCAACTACGTTTAGAGCACTCACCGCTCGTCGAATAAAATTCCAACACAGCATCCACCGCAAGTAGAAGGATCTCTTCGCTTCAGCTACTCTCTGCAAAAAACTCCTCATTTGAAATTCCATTTCACCCTTTCCGAGGAATTAAAGCGAGGCACAAGAAGAAGGGTCTGTACAGAAGATTTCTAAGTGGAACGAAATATTTCTTCGCGTTATTCCACAGGAGTGGGGAGGGAAAAGGGGGAAGAAAAAAACTACGAGAGGACGTTAAATGAAAACACGATCAAGTGAAAACGTCACCGGAGAACAGGATTGTCCCGGCGACACATGGTTGAAGTAAGCGCGAGGGGGACAGCAGAGGAATCCTTCACACGGTTTTGCGCTCGTTATATACCATCAACGCTAAACACCATCGACCATGAACACGCTATAATATTTTACTACATGGCTATCCAGAGGTAATACCTCGTACACACGTTGGACGAGAGTGATACGCGTGTAACGGGCCGCGGAATAGAGATACCGGCTTCAGATAATAAGATACCGATAAGTCAACGCTCAGGAGGGGGAGAAAGAGAAATTAAAAATTGCCCTTAAACACGCTACACGGCTAATGCACCGGACGAATTCTTATCGGTAATTACAATGTGTTTATCCTCTTACCTCTTTGCCCGAACGAGGAATCCTCTATCGACGATCTTCCAAAGGCTCGAGTCACACGAGAGGTGAGGTTAATTCGAACGTGAAGCGAAAAAAGGAAGAAAGAAGGAGTCACGCACTTTGGAAGAACGCGTTAACGAAGGGTAACGGGCGGTAAAGTGAAACAGAATTGTAGTAGGTGATGCGAAATTCGACAAACACGTTCTCGAGCAATATGGCGGTCGATCGTGAAGCAACGCCTGGTAAACTACGACTGAAATGACCTGCCCTGCGCGACGAGGACTCTCGTGTTTGAAATTTGCTTTTCAAAACAACACACACATATATATGTACGTCGCGTTCAACAACCTTTTCAGCTTGTTTTCAAATAGGATCACGCCGTTAATGGCAGTCCTATTTCGCGAGCGTACGAATGAATTATTTAAAAGGAATCCCGAATGTATTCTAATTAATCCAGAAAAGGATATCTCGAGCGTGGAGAAAGTCCCCGTAAATATAGCAATTACCTAAAGCGTCGTCGTATCGAGGTGTATAGTTAAGCTAGAGAGAACAAGCTCTCAGCGGAGGCTGATCTGTTAATTAGCGAAGCGCGCGCTAGACATTTCCATTGAAACGGTAAATTAGGTGCAAATTTTACCGCGGTACGAAAGAAACCGGCGGCTAGAGAAATGCACGGAAGAAACGTCGTTTTTCCTCATCTCTCGCCTCCTCTTTCTTTTTTCTCTGCCGGTGGAACGCGCTTAGGCGCCCGTAACAGCGGTGGCGACATCGCTAACGCGTCGTGATACATCGCAATCGTGAGAATCCTTGCTCCGTTGTTTCTTGAGGCTTCTCTCTGTACCTCGACGCACACACACACATCAGCCCCAGCAACCGGAAGAACACACGAGCTTCCCACGCCTCTAGTAAACCGCTTTATAACGGATCGTCTTGATTTCTCGGGCTAGTCAAATGCACTCGTTTCGAGGCGATCCCTCGAGGCTCTGCTTCTCTGCTCATGCTAACGTACAAGAGAGACCACGGTCGCGTCTCGGTGATTGGTGGAAAAATTCGTGTCACGAAAGCGGCCGCGGGTATATATATATACGTACAACCGCGTGATTTCGTGTACGATTTCAAGTACACGAGGCTCCGTGCCCGAGGAATTTCACGAAATAGGTAGAAAAACGAGGCTAACCGGTCGCTCGTCGATAACCACCGAGAGGGTAGAGGAGGGGAGGGCTGTAACGATATATTTGCATGCGCATTTCTCGGCCTACGTGTGCCTATAACGTTCCAGCCGGGTTTTCCATCTAAAAATACTAAGTGGCACGGCAATTTCGCCTGAGAAAGCGCGGTTCGTACGGTTCTATCGTTATTTTCTCGGCTCGTTACCGGTTAACCCTCCACAGACGCTCATTTCTTAAGCTTTTTCGCAGAATTAAAGGGCGGAATTTGGCGTATATAGGATCGAGTTCTGGTAACTATTTAGTTTAGATGTTGTTACTTTAATTTGAAAACCGTATCTTTCTCTTCTCGTTTGTTCCCTTCGTATTTTATTCGTAGATCAAAAATTGATACCCACACCCGTCTATACAGAACAAGGGACACATGTGTGCCGCGGCCAGTCGAGCAAATAATAATTTGAAAATATGTCGCCCCTATTCACCGCTCCTTTCTCTGTCTGTCGCCATTATTATCGCGAACCGAGCCGACAGCTTGGCCGCATTAGTGTCGCGAGGACTCGTAACCGCAAAACCACCGACCAGTCCCAAACACCATTATAAATGCATTAACTCTCCCCTACCTCCCCTGGTGTCCTCCCTCTTTTTAACCGCGTATCTCTCTCTCTCTTCGAGTAATTCTTTCGTCTTTTTCGGTTGATTCGAATAAACTCTTTGCATAACCGACACACGTTTTCATTCAAATTCATCTCCGTATCGTGTGAGGAGAAATACTTAAAATGAAAACTGTCCATTAATAATTTAACGAGTGGATGGATACAACACGATCTAAAGGAGCGTTTCCCAGAGTCATCGAAAAGGAACCGTTCCCTTTCCTTCGTCTCGAAAAGTCGACGATCATTAACCCCGATGGAAGCGATCGTTACACTTTCTTAACACTTCCCCCTTCTTCCTCCTCCCTCCACCGGCGCACAGTGTTACCCTTCGTTTTATACGAGATCGAGGCAGCCCCCGTGGAACCTCTCGAGAACGATAAATCAATGACTCTCGCTCTTTCCGCCGCTACTTCCGACCCCCTCGCCGTCTCTCTTCCACCAATGGGTTATTCAACGTCGATACAAAGAGCCCTGGCGCAGCAATTAAGGGTGTTTTAGAGTGGCTGCACTCGAGAATGACCGGCCACCCCTGGCCAAGAATAATGGTGGGGGTATTAAAAAACATTACTCATCACATAATCGCGCGAGCGGTTTTCATTGCAACTTGTCGTCTCCGTTCTTCAACCCCTCTCACTTTCTCTCATTCTCCCTGCAAGCGTGTACCCGGGTAAATCTATCTCTGTTCGTCTCTTGTGTCTGCGCATCGCGGTGGTTCGCCTATCCTTTCTCCCGGGCAGGGCAGAAAAATGAGAAATGATCGTGGCTCGATTCACAGAGGGGCCTGTTTAAAATTCATGAACGATTTTACTGCTACCGCCATCCCCTGTATCGTCGAGAGCGTCACAAAAGCCAGAGAGCAGGGGCATATCGAGAGAGAGAGTGGCCCACATTTTCAGAACGATACACATAGAGACACGGGTGCGTATACAGACACAGAGAAAGAGAGACAAGTTGTGAAAAAGGGTGGGATGCACCCCACGAAATATATTAATTGTCGAATTTTCCGTGCGAGTTGCATATCCGTTAGAGCCGCTTTGTCCCTTGCCAGCCACGGATCTCCTGATTATTAATTACCCCGACAACGGACTTCATCCCTCCTCCTCCTCCTCCACTCTTCTCTGTCTACCCTCCCGTGAAATTCGCGGCCTCGTTTCGAAGGTACAACGTTTTATTTTTATTCCATTTTTCTGTTTTTTTTTTTTTTTTTTTTTTTAATTTTTCATCTCTGTACCGCCGGTTTTTATGGAAAAACGTAACGAATGTCCCCGACGACGCGCGAGTGCTCGTTAATTATCGCGCCGAATTCCGCAACGAGCGAATCGTCGGCTTTTAATTGAGAGGATAGCGGAGACCGGTGAGGCTGATTTATCGTCGGCCAGTGGGGTTAATCGTGACGTTTGACAGTGGAATCGCCACAAGAGAGAGAGGGCTAGGCAGGCGCTCGGTTAGCGGGAATTTTATTGGTCGATTTCTCCTCTGTGCGACGAATTTTTCTAATTATCTCTCGCGTTAATTACAACGTTCTCGATCGTTATATCGGAGCGTGAATCCATATTTAACGGGGATCGATTACCCGTATAACCGCCGTTTATTATTAACGAACTTGGAAATTATTTTTGCATCGATGGAAAAATTGTTTTAATCAACCCCCGGGCGGCGGGTCGCTCGCGTTGTCTAATTTCCGCCCCGATATTCATATTCACGTTGAACGCGTCGAGGGAAATTTCTCGCTCAGCTCGCTCGCTCGCTCGTAATCGTGTCACAATGAGGTATAACATTACGTTTACGGTAATAACAAACGGGTAATACGCTGTAACTCGAGCGAGTGAGCTAAATCACCACGTGTCGGCACAGACAAGGGACTGTATAATTTTCCTCTCCGCTCTTTAATAATTACGCGCGATGCAACGAGTTGCGTAATTGGTCCAATTGGAATAGCATTATCGTGCCGCGACGGCCACCTTCGTCGTCTCTTTCCTTCTTTTCGTTTACCACGTATATTTCCATAATGACGCTCCCGAAAGGAAAATCGTGCCACGAGAATCTTTCGTTCGAGCTTTCTTCGTATTCATCGCTCGAGGATAGGTTCCAACCTGACCATTCTCTCTCGCGAATAATCAGAAAATTTCATCGATTCTCCTTCCGTTATTAATCGCTTCGACAAACTCTCCGTGAAGTCTGTATTAGCCGAACCGAAAGTATCGTGTAACGTTAACCCTGGAAAATCATGCGGAAATGTGTCTCGAACGCGTCCAAGGGCGCTTAACGCTCTAAGGGAGTACGCGCGCGTGGCATGATACGCGATGATTAGGCGGCAAAACTCCACGGGCTATTTGTTAGTATAATAAGCTCGCCAACAGTGTGGCCAACGTAACCACTCGCCGGCACGCCAGCCCGTTTTAGCGTAATTGTCCCAGATCGAGATTTACATACGCTGAACGGAGGGGGATCGAACGAGTAAAGGGGAGAGAATTCGGGGAAATGATAAAAAGCTAGGAGGAAAAATTTTTAACCGAGGAAGAATCATTCGCTTTGTACGATCTTACTCGCACGATTAACGAAAAAAGAAAAGAAAAAAAGACCGAAAATAAAAACGCCCCCTCTATTCTCTTTGCAGAACGAAGTGGAAGAGGCAGACGATCGTGGGCTTCGAGATCATGGCGGAGAACAATTTCGCCGTGGCGGCCTTCCAGCAGCTCTACGGAAGCGGAGCAGCGGCTGTTCCTGCTCATCCAGCAGCAGGAAGATACTGGCCTTATCCAAGTGCTCACGCGTTGCCAACAAACGGTCTATTTTACCAGCAAGCATCGGCAGCGGTCACTCTGCAGAAACCTCTTCCCTATAGACTGTATCCGCCAACGATGATCCTAGCAGGACCTAGCAATCCTCTAGGTTCCCTAACAGCGAGCTCCAGTCTGTCCAATCTGAGCAACTACTACAGAGACAGTCCAGAAATGGCCGACGGAAGAGAAAACATGGAGAGATCGTCGAGGCAGAGGGATCGAAGCAAAAGTCCTGTACTAAGTGACAGGTCGCCGTTGATGAAGGAGGAAAGACTGTACGCGCCTACGATGGTCCAAGCAGGATCTAGCAACACCCTTGGTACGCTCACAGCGAGCTCTAGCTTGTCAAATCTGAGCAACTATTACAGAGACAGTCCAGAAGTGGCGGACAGGGAAAGGGAGGGCCTGAACAGAGCGTCGAGACAGAGGGACAGGAGCAAGAGTCCTGTTTTGGGAGAAAGATCCCCTATGTGCAAGGACGACAGGCTCTATCCACCTACGATGCTCCAGGCAGGTCCTAGTAATACCATTGGATCATTAACGGGGAATTCCGGCCTGTCGAATTTAGGCAGCTATTACAGAGACAGTCCCGACATGATCGAAGGAAGGGACAGGGAGAATTTGAGTAGGGGGAGGAGGCAGAGGGACAGGAGCACCAGTCGCTCGCCTAAGAGAGAGGACAGTCCTCAGAGTATAAGAGCTGATAGCGACGAGGAGAGTATACACGATATCTAAGACAGACAAGGAGGAAGATTCGACTCGGAAGAGGAACCCTGGAAACGCAGCTACGCGGAGGTCAAAGAAGAGGAAGAGATCGATCCCTCGAAAGTGTCGTCTTGAATAGAACGTTCGACAAAATCTTTCGAGCTGGAGCAGTTGGTAGAGGGTAAACTGTGAACGTCTAAAAATTCTCGTTCGTAGCCGGTACGCTATTCGTTGCGCAAAAAAAAAAAAAGAAAAAAAGAAAAAAAAAGTCTCGCCGTCGATACGAAAGTAGAAGGAAACTGGACGGTGAGCGACACATTTTGTATTACACAAAACGGTCGATTTCGTGAGGTGGAACAGAGGAAGTGACATGGCACGGGACGTCCGGGATTTCCTAGATAATGAGAATGCGCAGAGGAAGCGTTGTGTGGTTAACCAAAGTTTCGTGATTCGAACGTTTAGCGCGAATCGACGGTACGGTGAAACAGTATTTTCCATGCCACGATGTGTAATCGTTGTACCTAACAGTTTCTTCGGATCGGAACCGATCCGACCGCTGATTCGACAGATTTATCGTACTTTGCGGGTCGTTGAACGACGAGAGGCGGCCGCTACTACTACTTTCCTCCGTGTAAATACAAAAACTGTTCACCTGTCTGGGTGCAAAAGGGGAAGAAGAACCGGGGGGGGGGGGGGGGGGGGAGAGGAGAGAAGAGAAGGCTAAAGAATGGGTTAGAGGAGGCTAGACGTTAGAATCGGGATAGTTGCGCCGAAGAAACGGAGTCGATCGCGAACGAACGCGAATCTACAATTAATATGACATTAAGGGATGGGAGAAGAGGGGCCTGTCTGCCTTTCTGCCTGCGGGGGAAGAACGTTCGAAATGACACGAAATTACACGCGGAGAGAAAAAGAAAGAAAAAGGAAGAAAGGTCTCTCTCGAGTGCCTATTCAAATAACCGTGGTCAGTGTTTCTGCTTGTTGTTCTCTGAATTTAGCCTTCTGAAAGTCTCCCCGCCCGCTCGTCGACGCACGATCAAATTGGCTAATTGATATCGACGCGACTCCCTCTCCCCTCCTCTTTCCTCCCTCAATCTCCCTCGGTTGTACGATTGTAACCACGCGACGAGCTCGTGACTCGGGAGGTAAACTCCCGTTGCTGTAAATACGATTAGAACTCGATTCGGCTACGTCGATGTAATTTCTCGCGTGTACGCCGAACACAACCGTTGTAAATAGCCACGTTTCTTTTTTTTTCTTTTCTTTTCGAGAAACAAGTCGTATGTGTAAGTCGAATAGAGGCCCGGTTGGAGGCGTGGTGAATTAATCGCCCAGGTATTCCGTATGTGAAGGCGTCACGACGCTAGCCTAACCGTGATAACCAAGATATTTCAAAGTATTTTTCAGATTCCAGTATACGTAGACGAGCGCGTAGAACGTGTTTTCTCACCGTCGGCGATTCTTCTATCGGAGAGAAATTCAGTTTGTCCGTTTGTTCGAGTAAAACGTCGTCGTTGTGTTTTTAGTTTCTCATTGTTTGTTTTCCTCGCGGAGGAACAGTCGAAAGATCAAGTTCGGCGAGGACGACGGGGAGGGACGGTGCGAAAGACGGTGTTGCGCGTTCAACGAAGAAAATACCAGTATTATGAATGTATAAAATTAGGGTGTACGATGATGAAAACAGGTGTACGATGTAAAGGAACACTTTAAGAAGAGCGGCGGCAGTTGTTGCAAGCCCCGTGGAGATCGCGGAGTCTCACGGTATCGTGCGACTTAAAATGTTAAGTAATACAGCAAGAAGTACATAGTATAAATCATGCTTTGTAAAATAATGTCTGTATAGCGAGAATTATTATATGGAAAATATATTATACTAAATTTAAACGCTCACGTCTCTACATCGTTCTTTTCATTCTATTAACGAACAACGATTCCCGTCCTTTATTCCTTGCCTAATAAGTTCGTTAGTATTCATAAGAGATGGTTTATAAGATGGTTATCGGGGCGAGCAATGTAGCAAGAAACATTTTGATTGCTTGTCCGCGCGCGAACCACTCGTAACCCGTGGAGGGAGGGAGATTTAGCGAATTTATTCATTATATCCAACCATTATCTTTCAGCGAGCAGCGGGCATAAAACTTAATTGAATTCACGAATTAGCGCGCTTTCTTCGTACTTGGCGAAAAATTAACAACGGGCAGGAAGTCGATTGTAGATTAAAGTTAAAATTAGCTCGGTCGTTAGTCGAAAATGAAAGGAAGGAGGTGTGTCTGACTACCCTTTCTTCTTCGTGGAATTCATCGTCAAAAGTATTATTCTCTACTGAAGCAAGTTAACCGTTCCTTCCACTTGTTTACCGATCGATTCTTCTTTACACACACACACACGCCCATAGAACAAAGCCAGATTGATCTTTCGGCTATCAAGAGAGGCTGGCTCTCTATCCACCTATTTTTCACGCGACGATGCATATTGCGAGATATTTACGATCAGGTTAATGCCTACACACGGATCGCGTCCACCTCCTGTTCCCTTATTTGCATTCCCATTTGCATACGCACACTTACGTAAACCGTATGATCGCGTTCCGCGATTTTTACAGTTAGACCCGACCGCGTATCGTCTAAGTGGAGTAAATAATGCTACGTGGCCGCTTTGTGAAACATTCCGCAGGTGTTACTCCCGCTATGAGAAAGTTTTGAAAGAATAGTAGTGTATTTTTTTTTTTTTTTTTTTTTTTTTTTTTTCTTCAAATAAATCCTTCGTTACACCTTTTTCTTGAGAACCCACTTGAAAGTATCCACCGCTTAAGCTAATCAATGTAGATTCACGTCTAACTATATAGTTAGAGGGTTTAACGAAGCTTTATTCACGATTCGCGTGAAAGAATTCGAAGGCGTAAAGGGCTGCTTGGTTATTACAGACGATGTCTCGCTCGCGTTCTCCATTACCCGCCGAGGAATTTCGGCCACGGTGTAATTTGCAAAAAGGGAGAGGGGAGGAGGTGGGGTTTGGAGGGCCTTACGAGAGTCGTCGAAGGTAAAACCCGAGAAGCGTGACAGCGTGCTCGAGGCTTAATCGCGTTTGCTTATTTCCGGCGTTGGTCAGCCGACGCTGCAATTATGTAGGAGCGAGCTCGAGCGCTAACTGCCGCGTAAGGGCTTATTTTATTCCTATTAGGGTAAAACGGGTAGCCGGGGGAGGACGCGTATTTCGCCTGTGTATCCCCAATTACGTGAAATTAATTTGGGCCCCATTAGCGGTGTGGCCCGGCTATGCCCAACGATTTTTCCCAACGGTTCCCCTCTCTCGCCCCTCTTCAATGCATATTTCAGTTAAAGGCAAACCACAGCCCTGTCGCGTTTAAACGTTTCTTCGCGTGATTTCTCCGTAAACTCGCGGTAACGCCGAATTTACGTATCGTTCGAGAGGATTACTCGAAATAACGTCAGGTTCTTTTACCTCGTGCAGAACGAAGAAGTTGACAGAGGAAGTGTATTTACTCGGGGAGAGGCGAGAAGATTCTGTTGCTCGATAAGAGGGCGTTAACGATCCTCTATTCGGTGAAAGGATTACGTTAACCGAGTGGACGAGGATGGAAAGTGAAATATATATTTGCTATCGTGTTATCGTTCGCACTTTCTACGAGCGCGAAGTTTCGAACGAGCTCTCGGAAGTCCCGTGGGACAGGAAGTAAACGCGAACGACGGTTAAATAATCGTGTAAAACAGTAACCGAACGTGTGCCTCGTAAAATCTCTTTTTAAGAAGCTATCCTGCCACCACGCTACTCTTTGCATAATTGCAGACCACGCAGAGAACGGATGCGCTTATTAGCTGAAAGCCTACGGGTAGGAAATCACAGTTTCATTTTTTCGCGTTCAGGTTCCACGCGGTTCGTTTCCCTATGGTGTGTATACGCCCGATGGAAACCGAAGAAGAAGACGAAGAAGAAGAACGAAGAGAAGGGACTACTAGCCGGGAGGATGTGGTTAACCCACGGTCAAATCGAGCTTTTGCCGGGCTTCTGCATCCTGAAACGGGCGACAAAAGAGAATCACCGGAACAAAAGTACAAGCACGTTATACTGCCCCCGCATCCTGTACGCTCGCCTGTCTCTCGTCGATCGAAACGTCTAGATCGTACACCGTTTTCACCTATTTTCTTTCGTTTTTTTTTTTTCTTTTTCGTTAATATAAATCGACGAGATCCAATGGAAGGTGCGCGAAATGTAAAAGGAACACGCAGGACGAGGGTATTAAGGGGAAAAATAATTATAACAAACGTGACACGGTGCACTGAAATTACACACTTCATAGATTGACGAACAGGAAGAAATAAAAAAGCAAGGAAACGCAAAGGATCGATTATCCCGGTGTATCTTAGAATTGACAATGCACGTGTAGAGTAGCCGACACGGTATTATACACCAGAGAACCAGGACGACGTCTACTTAATATTAATAACGCGTCCTCTGGAAACACAGGACGTTAAGAGAGAAGAAGCGGCAAGCAATTAACCGGTGGCCGTTTAATAGAATGCAAATAACCGGTCGCAACGATCGATTATCGTCTTCGTCCACCGGGTAAATGAAGTTATTTTGGCGACATCGCGCAAACATCGAACAACGTTCCGCTTGTATTCTCCGTTACAGAAAGAGGAGAGACAGAGAGAGAGAGGAGTTGGTGGAACAAAAAGGTGGCGGAAGAAAAGGTACAACAAACGATCTGATGCCTAAAGGGAGAAAGAAAAGAGAGAGAGGAAAAAGGTGGATCGAGGTGAGTAAGAGCGTATAATGTGTCCAAAAGGCACCTGCCTCCTTCGAGGCTTACTATCTTCCCATCGAATGGTCTCAAGAAAAGGAGCTAGACTCGAGTTAGCCGATGTTATCTCGTTTCGAGACCAGCGAACCACTTATATCGTTAATTGCTCCCACTTCCGGCCTCCCTCTCTCCCTCTATCACTCTCTTTCTCTCTTCCTTCACTCCTCACTCCCACTGGCTTTATCTGTTAGAGGCTGATGCGTGTGCGCGGCC